TAATATTCTTAAATATTTGTTTAATTTAGAAATTTTATTTTAAAAAATTTATATATCTTTCTAGTAAGAGCGGTAACCCTGAGATTCTATTAAATATTTATTTAAATAATTTATTTATTTATAATTTAAATATTATTATCTCCTCTCCTTCCAGAGAGAGATTCTTGAATAATATTTTATATCTAATTTCTCATACTATCCTATCTATTCAATGTGTTTAGTATAAGCAGGTAAATAAATTATATAGTACATCTTCTTGGCGCGTGTAAGTGATCTAATTAGATTTATTAGACTTACTAAGACTAGTAGAACACCTTATCTGGCAGCAAATGGCTGGTTATAGTAAGTCCTGAATAGCTTCACGGTGTAGAGACCAGGCTCATAACTTATTAAGGAGTGCTCTATGGAAGCAACAAAATAAATAAATAAGCGAACGAACAGAAGCAAAAGAGTGAGTTGAATTGAGTTATTTAGAAGAGAGTAAAACAAAGCAACGCGAAGAGGTGCTTTGTGGGCGGTCCGAGCACAGCGCACGTGACTAGCCTACATGAATGCCTCGACAGAATATAATTATTCTGTCTAGGAAAATGATATACATAAAGTCTTAAATTTTTAAACAGGTATGCAAGCTATATAAAAATATATAAGTTTTTTATTTTTATAGAAATTCCTAGCATTGTTATATAAAGATATTATTATATGATTTATTTATAATATTTATAAACATATTTGTCGAAAATCATATAGATTCAAATTTTCTTATATATATTGAAATATCTATATATTAAATTTATATTAAATTATATTTTATCACGTACAAGCAGACATTAGTTAGTATATAGCTTATTAAGTTCTAGAAAGTGTTCTAGATAGCTTAATTAGGAAAGCGGAATGGCTAGCTTGGAACAAGGGATAATACAAACTTTTGATATACCAATGTAGGTAAGAAATGAGTTATTAAATATCATTAATTTATATATTAAAGATAAATGTAGCCTATATTCACAGAAATGCAGAATAAACTAATTCTTAGGAAATTAGTAGCAGTTCAATAATGAGAGATCCTTATCTTATATTTATTATGATTAGCTAGCGTATGGATAATCGCATGATCTTTATATTTACTGACTACCGTAATATATCTTCCTGATGATTCTAACTGTGATAGTCTAACTATGCTGTCATATATCTGATAACGGCTGATTTCTATGATCAGTTCCATGTACTGTCCAAATTGTACGGCATGAATTTGTTGTACGGTGTCTGGAGTGCTGGATGAAATATTGTCTCATTCCTCATTTCTGAGTCCATAAATACTGACTCTCCCGTTCTGTGCGGTATAACGGAAACATGAGTAAAATTATGCTCAGCCTGGGAGATTAAAGTTGGGATATCATCAGAAGGTGTAAGTTTTGTTGATAGTACTGCAGAGAACCTAGGAACTCTGTCCTGTTCGATAATCGAGCAGAGAAGAAGCTGATAATGAAGACTATTACAAACTCTGAAAGTATGTTCAGCAGCGAGATTATCAGCCGCCAGAGCGGAAAGCCAGTCTAGCGCTTTTTTAATGTGTGATTTAATAAAAACGGCCTGGTCTGCACTGGTTCTGATATGATAGCCCAGCTCTATCAGTAGTATAGTTGCTGACTGTATAAGATAATGCAGGATATACTACTATAGAGATACCTGGACTAATCAGATACCATCAGGCTTATTAGGCAGGAGATCCAGAAGCTGGTAAGCTGAATTAATACATATATCTGCGGTTTCCTGAAGATCCTTAGAAGGCTCAGTGTCCTGTCTGTGCCTTTCTGACTGACAAAGAGATAGCTGACATATTATAATTTTTATATTATAAAATCTAACAGCAAGGCCTTATCTCTATCTATTAAATTAACCTGATTGTTGATAACCCTTGAAGCTAAAGACTTCAGCTAAATCAGAAAGTTATTTATCTGTTTCGTGCACCAGGTTTATTATGGCTATATAGATGGTAAGCCAAGGACATCTTGTGAATCCTGGACTGTATAAGGAATCAACTGCTTGATGTATGATCTTGGTCAGTTTGATAAAACAGAGAAAATATCAAGAAGTATTAGGGATAATATCCTGAGATTCAGAGTCAGGCCTTCGGCTGCTAATTTTATTAGTATTTGGAGGCCTGTTTACAGGGATATATCTGAAGAATATAAAGTCCTGTATATACTTAGCATAAAATCCTGAATCTACTAAGAGTCTCACAGCAGGGTCTTGATGAAATTGCTTTTCTTTAAAAGATATTAGTAAAGGTATTGTACAGAACCTATCTGAAGTTTTAGTAAACTGGCTAGTCATCATTAAAAGTATATTTTCTAGTATATAGAGTGACCACCAAACACGGTATTAGATCTTTCTAGAAATATTAGATATTTCTTTACTTTGATTCTACAAATTTATTTCTATAGTAATGGAAGATTTTATTATGATACTATATACTCTCCAGGACCTGTGATTCAGTGAGGATGTGGAGGGCTTTTAATAAATAAGAATAAATTAAAAAGGGAAGAGGAAAGGAAAGGCAAGTAAAGGATAAGTAAAACTGTTATCATATTTATTAATATAGCTTAATACTATACACAGAAATATAGTGAGACCTTCAATTTGTACCTGTTGAAGATTAGGATATTTAATTAATAGATTTTCTGTGGTAGTGAGTTGCTGAGCCTGGAAGAAATACTTTATCAGGCTATTTATAGACTGCATTAAATGTTGAGGTATTAAATATGTAAATTTGGCAGTAGCAGTAAAAATCAAATTTAAAATTGCGAGCCATTTCTTCGGCGGATGTAGATTTGGGTTGGCATAATATCTGCTTATTTATTATATAAAGGATAATTTGCTGATGATAGGAAACAAAAGATATATAATCTGAAAGTATAGATAAAGCAGTCGCTCTGCAATACCTTGAGGTGGCTGATTCTAAAGATTAATATTTTTATAAATAGCCAGCTTCTGATTATCCAGAAAATAACTTATTCTACTTAAAACTTCTGAGTCATTAGTTGGAACTCTATTTGGAGAGATTCTATTTAAAGATATTATGTATTTCTCAACCTCCTGGTTTAAATCCTGAATCCAGAATAGCTCAGAAAGACTGCTAATAAATTTAATAGGTTATAAAGTTTTATTATTATGAAGATCCTCCTGTACATATTCTATTATGTATATAGTATTATCCCCTACTGCTTAGGACTGCTTATAATCTGTAACAGTGCCCCCCATGTCAGATGTCTTGCTGTATTTGAAAAATGTTAATAGGGACCAAAGCTTATAAATAGTTATTTAAATGATGGCATACATGGGTAAGAGTCTGAGCAATAAGGTCCCTGTCCTTGGGTGAGACTTGAAACTGTACCTGGCACAGGAGTTTCTTATATACCTGAACCTGACTTTCAAGATCTCAGTATTTTCCGAAATCTGTCGGTTACTATAATTTCTTAGTGCAGTATGAATATGAATATATTTCTCCATAGTCTTTTTTTTTATTAATGTAGATGTACTTTATTCCACAAGCCGCGCATCGACTACATGGCTGTTAATTGTTATATTTAACCTTGCGGTTTCTGTATTTCTTATATACCTTCTTAGTGCATGGCCCCACGGCCACTTCATGAATTAATAATCTCGGGATAGTAATCTTAGAAGTAGAAATACTCGGAGAAACAGACTCTGAGTCTGGATTTAAGATTATATCAGTAAAGATGACACTTCCTACGTCTTAAATAATGTTAATTATAATGGGATCGTGCCTGCGCAAAAATACTACTACTGAGTAATATGAGTAAATTATTCCATTTCTTTAAAAATTGTTTTCGAGGTGTTTGTGCGGCATTTGCTGTTTATTATAGACCACAATATTGTGCTTAGATATTAGGATCCGCGCGTCAGTCAATATGTATGATATCTTTTGAAAATAAAAGATGGTTTCGGCCCCGCGCACTTACAGCTAAATATGATAGCTTGTATAATATTCAGTCAAGGGCTACAGTGGTGGGGTCTGACTATCTTATTATGATTAGATAGCAGAAAGATCCAGTATTATGTTGCAGTGCGGTAAGAGCATGTACTGTAAATAATACCATTATATATCTTAGATATTCTGCACAGCAACTTCAAGAGCTTTTTATTCGGAAAGGCTATTTAAATAAATTCCAGAGACTGTAGCACATAGCTTGGCTACTGAGGTGCCAAATTTTGGATATATAAGGAACTAGTTCTTCGGTTTTTAAAGAAGATATGGTCTATCCGCAACTAAGTTCTCCTCATTTTCCCGTGCTTTCTAGACAACTAGACCTCCCATGAATGAATTTTCTTCGGCCTTTTTTTTAATTTCATCCTGTTTCATCCGTTGGAAGTTTTCTTTTTTTTGGTGAATGATACACATTCTGAAGATACCCAGTTTCCCCTACAACTCAAACCGAACAATCAAATTTAAAAAGTACCACTTAGCTTTTCATCGAGACTATCAAATATCAACATTAGTTCCAACTATGCAATAAAGACATGCTTTTTCCACTGACTCACAGGTACTCCAGATCGACGATGCCGCTATTGCAAGAGTAGAGTGGCTTTTTTAGACCCTTTCTTTAACCGTTTGAGGCAAAACGGTTAAAAAAAATACAGGGTTAGGTATAGATATCATAAATTGATAAATATATACATATATATAATCTTAGATCTCTCTAATCAATAGAGATAATATAAATAAATATTTATATAATTATTAAAAATAGTAATATAATTATATATAGTATATAATACACTTACATTGCTATTTTTAAAGACCACAGCACGGTGTATAGGAAGTTAGTATTAGCACGACTTCAGACAAAGAGTAGATCTGGAGGTATACTGCACTATGAATTAATGAGATTTGAATAGAATAATAATTGATTCTTAATAGTACATGGGCATAAGTACACAGGGAAATGGTTGAAGGATTGGCATATTGACAGCCAAAAATGGTGTTGATTGCGGCTGTTTTAGGCAGTCCAATAGTCCATCTGCTGTCTTCTAGTTTAAAGTAGATATTTATCTGATTATCAGCCGCGTGCTTAATGCATGAATTAAATGCACGACTATTTCAACTAAGAATTGTAATTTGATCCTGGTATAATTCAGAAATAAATTATCCAGGTTACTAATTACTCAGTAGTCTCAGTTAACTACCTGGTAAAACCGTACAAGACTAGAATCTGAGTTAAGACTCAGAATGCATTTTCATACTATATTGTAGTTATGTGACTGGTTGGGATCTGAATGATTCCAATGCTTGATTTCCACTTGCATTGAATTCCAACTTTTCTCTCATCCACTCCTCGTCCCTCCTCCTCTCCTTCCCAAAAGGTTGAGTAGAGAGAACAAATTTCTTGGCACAGAAACATCGTTCACCTCTACTAGCTCGGTGAAGTCGTTCGTCTTCTTCCTACAGCTGCCTTGGGAAACACGAGATGCAATCTGGCGATTATGCCTCCCGGGCCCTCAGATAGTAGAATTTGATCGTCCGATCTGTGACAATGAACCCTGCCGTGGATTTTGTGGGGTCCATCATCGCTATCACCTCCGACTTCCTGCCCTTGCAGCTGTGTGCCAGGAGTCACGCCTGCTGGTTCTTCGAGAATATTACAACCCTGAGGCGGACGCCGAGATCCCGCGACCGTACTATCCTGCCGCATACGAGCACGTTGTCTTCCAACCGGGAATCGATATTCTGCATTTCAACTGGGACGAAGGAGACCTGGGCGCATACAATCTCTGGAACGACGAGGACAACGCAATCCCATATTTTTGCGCGGTGACTCGGAAAGCAGTACACAACCCGATCTCCATCACTGACCGACACCTCCGGCAGGAATTCGACGAACCCTTCTTCGCCGGCAACGTTCGCGTTGCCGCACTGGACAAGTATGCAATGCGAGACCACTGGTTGGTTCTAATACGGACTGTCAGTTTTGACTTCAAGGACGACGTTGAGGCGCTGCGGTCCGGGTTGTTCGGGGAATTCGAGCTGGACCCTGTGCGCTACGTCGATCCTTATGACTCAGACACCCTGCACCGTTATCATCAGCTCTGGCAGACACAAAACCCCACTGGCATCACCACCTGCAACACTACTGTTCCTGTCACTCCGAAAACGCCATGGACCCGAGAGATCCAGTAGGCGGCTGCCGCAGAGTTTTTCGCGCTTCTGGAAGATTATCACCAGCCACTACGTGACCGACTCGCGCGGTGGAAGGAATACATTGACCGTCGCTGGGTCTGGAATGGAATGTATTCTACCGGATGGCGGAAGAGGCCAAGGCCGGAGCCCCGGTAAGCGTTCCGGATCGTGACGTGCTGTTCCTTCCGCCCTACCCTGGCTACGACTGGCAAGATGATGAGGAGACTTATGATTACTTTCGATCCAAATATACACTCAACCGGGACCATCCTTGGATACAGGCAGTTTTGAACAAAATGCCCGTCTTCCAGCCGATGATTCTCTTCCGCCATCGGATGGGGATTCGGTGCACCGGCCGGTAGACTTTAGCTAACAGGGCATTTATATGTAGTAGAGGGGTCTTGAACAAAACTCCGCCGTCCTCACAAGCTAAAGTTCGCATCGAGCAAACGTGGTGATTTATGTAGTGTGAACTAAAATCGCATCCTTTTTATGTTTGACTGCTATATTCCTTGACTGCTACCGACACTCAGTCAGCGCTGCTTTAAATCAGGCTTACCACCGTTAGTATGTATCTTTTTTTTTTTTTTTTTTTGTATTCAAATTGCTTTCCTTGGCTGCTTATTCCATCATTTGCCTAATGTTCATGTGGCTGTTTTGGGTATTTTGACAGAGCTAAATATTTGCGGCCAGAGTGCCAATCAATATAGTAGGAGTTACTTATACTGAGTAGATGCCCTTATCAGGCTGATACAGGCCATGTTGGCAATGAATGTCCACGAAAGTCCAGCCATTGTGATCTACTATGTCACGATTCAAACTTTAATAAATTATAGACATTCAAACATTGGAAAATTGCTTAGCCTCACATGGAGTTGCGGTCCGTGCATCCCCTAATGCCTTCACTTTCCAGATATAAGCTAAAATCATTCTCTGCCAGCGCTCAGCTTGATCTGTTTGTTCTCAAGTGTTGATTCATAACCGGCTACCGGGCAGTATTACGATGTAGTTGTCAGACCACTTGTCTGGTGACTGCCCCATAGTGCAAGTGCTCTAGCAGGACAGTGTGGGTCACACCTATTAGGTAATTATAGTCCTACACTACAACCTTGAAGTGATACTAGCTTCATTTTCGATAGCTCTACGCTTCTTTCCTCGGGGGATAGCCAGGACAATACAGTTACTTTGAGGTATAAGCATTATTTTAGAATTACATATTAGGAGAGGTAATTCATGCGCTGTGAAGGAATGTCTAATAGAGCTTCTACTAGTATTGATATTAGTATTGTCAGACGTTATATCCACCCGCCTCCTCTATAAGCTTCATTATCTATAGCCATGAGTATCTTCACGTCGCCAGTCCTTGTTACACGATGCCTAGAAAAAGATTTCTTCTCTACTGTATTTCACATTGTGTGCTAGTTCCAATTACAAACCATTGAATTGTATGTTTACCGGACATGAACCAGGACGTTGCAGGGGGAAAAGGGACAAAGATAACGAAAATCACCGTGCACTGGCCAGGCTGTCTAGTCCCTCGCATCATACTCAGACTTCGGATCTGAACTATCGAAGCCAAGCCGTCGGTCAGAAAAGTTATCGTCACACGATGAAATGCATCTGTGGTTGGATACGTCCGGACTGACTCTTCCTGTCAACTTCGCTTTCATTTCCGGCGCTAGAGCCATAGGACTATCACCCGTGACTCGTCGTATTTGGATAGGGCCTGCACCAGACCGACACACTTCCAGACTAGTCATTGAACTTTTTGCATAATGTACCAGCTCGTGGAGCAGCCAAGCCACCCGTCTCAGCATTTCTTCATTTTCTCGTTCCCACCGAATGATTATGTCTCGCATGTCCTGTACTCGGATCTCCTCAAACAGGCCGCGGTTGTGATAGGCCACGATAAGGGTCGGGATCTGGGATACCCACAGACGAGGGGTTAGGTCGGTCATATCAATTTCTTTTTTGATGGCCTTTGTCTTGAAGTCAACCATTGACCGAGTCTTAATATCAATGATATCGCGCTGGTCGACCCGTCGCCCAGCTTCCTGAATCGTAAGTTTTCCGGGGTGTTCAACAGGATCAGGACTGTGGTCTTCTTGAAGCCTTGCTATCAAGCCATCAATATCGGAGTCTACATCCCCAGTCGAGATGTCCCTGCTTGCCTGTAGGTTACTGGATGGCATCTCCGGGGACTGCTTTGGAACATAACCATCTGATTCAAATCGAAGGAGAAGGTCTAGGCCTCCAAAGGTATACTTGATTATTCGCTGGTGTGATTCGGAACCAGCAAGTCCCGGTCCCCACATTGTATATTCATCAAGGAATGTATGACCGTAACCACGGACATCTGGGATCAGATCTGTGGGCGAATTCTCCCTTCGGATGAAGCATACGCTATCTCCAGCCGTTTCCATTATGAACCTGAAGTCTTTGTCCACGCCTCGAGCGAACCGGACGAGGTTTCCGAAAGTACTGGATCAGGTTACTATATCGATATTGGCGATATCGTAGTCCGGACTCTGCCTTCTGATTGCCTCAAATGAAGCCTGCCACGGATAAGAAGGATACCTGGCCGCATTAGGGTCGCGAAAGTACTCCCCCCGATCCGGTTTTAGCTGGCGGCCTTCAGTTGCGGGGCTCCAAATAGGCGGTTCGCCTTGCAGAGTGATTTCTGTCACTATTATTGCTCCAGTGGCTGCCGATGGCAGGTGGGAAACATACCGGGTACCAGAATCGATGGCGTGGCTCGGCCTAGCCATGTGTATGAACTGACATACTCACAGAATGTAATTTGGGGGCATTCCTCGGATCTTTCAAGTTCGGTATTATCAATCTCCAACAGTAAAGGACCGTATGGGGGCGCTGGGGATTCGGCAGCTGAGCCTTGTCTGTTCCCAGGCTGTCTAGCACCCGACCAGCCTCACCGAGCACCACGAGGCTTGGATGGATAAAGACCTGATAGAGCCCTCCACATGATAATATTCACTGTGGTTAATAGAATCTCCAGATTATTTGAATTAATCTTTTACCAATGATACCAGGTGGGGTTGGGCATAGTCGAGATCAAGGATTACTCTCACCGGGTACCAAAGCATGGCCTGCAATCGCACCCCGATCAATTATACAACCATTCACATGTCAGCCTCATCATTCACCTAACATTAGTTTTATCTCCCTTTCTCCCTTGCAGGCGGGGTTCTGGCGGGGTTTAGCTATCTCTGCTCTGCTCTCGACTCATCTACCCTCAATGATCACACTTTCCCTTCTCTGCGATCCGTCATATTGGCTTCCCCTTTCCCAATGGCGACACGCTCCGATAGGCTCTCCAAGCACTTGGTGCTCCTTGAGAAGGGCAAGAGACAGGTGACAAAACCAGGTGATGCCAAACTGCTACTAGAAGCTCTTTGTGGTCAAGATAACCATTTACGCTGTATTGAAAGAGTGCTTGCTTCCCCCGCTCTGAGCGATTCGCTTCAGAACAGCTTCCGTCTGGATTTATCGCCGGAGTTTATCAACAATTCCGTGGCCCCATTCCTCAGCTACATACAGCACCCATCAATCGAGGATTTTGGGAGTGGACAATTTCTCCGTCAAATGGTCTCCAGTATCATCGAACCGCCTACATTCTGGAATGCCTTTGTTCAGTTCCATAGCCAGAAAAGGCTTAGTGACCAGGCTGATCGAGGCTTTGCATGGTTGCTCCTTAAAATAATCAGTACCCAGGGCTGCCCCAGTGAAATCATCGCTACCGCCCAGCAAATTTCGCAGGCCCGGACATTTCTCGTTTCATCCTCCCTAGAGGTTCGCACCATCGGCTATCGCATTGATGGCATCCTGAAGACCCTCAGAACTTGCGTAGACGGGAAGGATGACTTCCGGCCCGGTGGCAGACATGACAATGACTTTGAGTGCTTTCGTGATATCTCTATCCTGCCAACCCCAGATGAGATCGCTTCTACGAAGAGGCCCTTCTATCGGCGTATGGATGACATCTACCAGGTTTCAGTGGATGAACGATCGGTCGCTCATTACGATAACCAGTTTCGCCTGTTGAGAGAAGACATGCTGGCAGAACTGAAAAGTGATCTTCAGCTTGCTCGTGGTCAGAGAAAGGGGCGACGATCGGCCTTGACCATCTATGGACTCCAGCTCACTGGCGTCAGCTGTGGTGAGGAGGAGAACCGTCGAAGGGCCTGTAGTGTTCAATTCGAATGCACAAAAGGCATCCCCGGATTATCCCACCTGCCCCAGGCCGAACGTCAACAGTTACTGAGTGAAACTCCCAACTTCCTGAAGCCCCAGACCTTTGGGTGCTTGCTAGATAAGATGGAGATTGTCGGGTTTGCTTCTTTAGATCGTCGGTCGTCAGATCTCACACATGACGTCCCGACGGTCGCGTTGAGCGTGTCTGGTGATGCCGCCCTCTACCGCGTTCTCGCATGCGCTAAGATGGGGCTCAAGTTTGCATTCCTGGTTGTCAACACTCCCATTTTTGCATATGAGCCAATTCTCCTGCGATTGCAATCGGTGATAGAATACCCATTGTCAAACATACTGCTTGCGCCAGCTCCCTCACCGGAGCGGCTGACGTTGGATGAAAGTCTTGAGACTATTGTTGAACGGATACGAAACAGCGAGGGCCAGTCACTTCATCGAATTATCCATACCACGAAGAGCATATCCCTGGACAAATCGCAGCTTCAATCTCTCTTGGACGGTTTGCAGCAAAGCATAAGCACAATCCAAGGGCCACCTGGTGAATCTACACCCGCTCTCTGAACTGTTATGTTGAAGGCTAACAAATGCCATTACAGGAACGGGGAAGTCATTTCTCGGTGCCCTGATTGCCAAGACTTTGCATGATGAAACAAGTAAGACGCTCATGATCATTTGCTACACGAACCATGCACTGGATCAGTTCCTTGAGGACCTTCTGGATATTGGCATCCCAACCACGTCCATGGTACGGCTTGGTTCCAAATCTACGCCGCGTACAAAGGACCTGGGGCTGTTTGAGCAGTCTCGAGACACGTTGGACGTTAATTCATGGTCTTTTGTGAGCCAGAAAAGGGAGGAACTAGAAGAAGCAGTGAAGGAGTTGCAATCTTACTCCGCAGAGTACAGCCGTGACTCCATTTCCAAAGATGACATGCTCGAATACTTGGAGTTTTCCGAGGACAGCACGTTCTTCGACGCATTCACCGTTCCCGAAGAGCCGACTGGTATGCAACGCATCGGAAGACGAGGCAAAAGTGTTGGAAATTACTATCTCTGGGATGCATGGCGACATGGGCGGGACCCGGGTGCTCTCCGCGACCTCATCAGTCCTCAGCACGCTTATATCTGGACGATGGCATTTTCCAGGCGCCGGGAGTTGATGGAGACTTGGCAGAGAAACATACTTTTTGAGAAATCCACTAAATTGGTCGAGCTCGTCAGGAGGTGTAACGTTCTTTCTAAGAACCTGGACGAATACTTTTATCACAAGCGACATTGCGCCGTTCTTGGAAACAAGCGAATTGTGGCCTGCACAACAAATGCAGCCGCTCGATATGCACCAGCTTTGCAGGTCGCTAAACCCGACGTCGTCATTGTGGAGGAGGCCGGGGAGATCCTGGAAAGTCACATCCTGACAGCCATGACTATGGACACGCAGCAGCTGGTGTTAATCGGAGACCACAAGCAATTGCGCCCGAAGATCAACAATTACAACTTGTCCGTCGAAAAAGGTGATGGGCTGGACCTCAACCGCTCCCTCTTTGAACGACTTATCTCCAAGGGCTATCCACACAGCTCCCTCACTACACAGCACCGCATGCGCCCGGAGATATCCCGACTTGTCCGGCATCTGACATATCCGGACTTGCAGGATTCGGAGAGGACGTGCAAGCGACCACCACTCCGTGGGTTCCAAACTGACGTCGTATTCGTAAACCATTGCCATCTGGAGCGTGAACTCCATGAATGTGCCGAAAGAAGGGATCCAACTTCGAAGGCTAGCAAGCAGAATCCATTCGAGGTGGAGATGACGTTGAAGGTTGTCAAGTACCTCGGGCAGCAAGGGTACGGCACGGAGGACATTGTAATTTTGACACCGTACTTGGGCCAGCTATCTTTGCTGCGGACGGAGCTGAGTAAAACAAATGACCCGGTGCTGAACAACCTGGATGCGAACGACCTCATACAGGCCGGTCTTCGGTTGCCGGGGAGTACGAAGGTGACTAGAGATCCGATTCGCATATCAACCATAGGTAAGCGCGCCAACCTTCCAAACTCCGCGATAGATGGTAACCCAGGCAGATAATTACCAGGGCGAAGAGAGGAACATCGTCATTGCGAGCCTGACGCGTAGCAATGAGGCCGGGGATATTGGTTTCATGGCTGCTCCGGAGCGTGTCAATGTTCTACTCTCCCGAGCAAGAAATGCCCTGGTGATGATTGGGAACGCGAGTACATTCCTAGCAAGCCGGAAAGGACAGTCCACGTGGAAGCCTCTGCTAGAGATGCTTCAGGCCCATGGTCAGGTATATGATGGTGTTCCCCTCAAATGTGAAACCCATCCGGATCGCATGATCGTCGTCCAGTCTCCAGAAACGTTTGAGAAGGAATGTCCTGACGGAGGATGTTCGGATCCTTGGTATGTCAGCGTTCCATACAAATACATTGATTCCATGGTTAACTCAAACGGGAATTGTAGCTCAACCTTACTCCCATGTGGTCTTCACTCATGTATTCGACGGTGCCACCGCGCTCTGGATCACAAGAGAATGAAATGCATAATGACTATGCATAAAGCCTGCCCTAAAAACCACAATTACTACTGGGAATGCTCCCGAGGAGAGCCCAAGGTCTGCCCTACCTGTGACAAGGAGGCGATTGAGGCAGAGCAGAGAAGACTTGAAGATGCCAAGCTGGAGGAGAAGCGACGTAAGATCCAGCTTGAACATGCAAAGCAACTTGCGGAGATTCAGTACGAAATCGAAATGCAGCGGGAACGTCTGACCAATGAGCAGAAGGTCCGAGATCATCAGGAGACTCTTGCTCAAAAGCAAAAGGAGCTTGAGAGCCTGACTGCGGTCGCAACTCGCCTCACTACCTCCCGGTCAGCTGCGACGAAGGAATCAGCTGGTAGCATTGGTAGCGATAACAGTGAGCCCAAAACGGTCACTCTCAAGTCGGCTGCACGAGATGAGTGGGAAAGGCAGAAGACAGAAGAAGGCCAGTCGAACGCAGCTTTGGACACACTGATGGACATGATTGGACTCGAAAGAGTCAAGGACAGCCTTCTTGCCATCAAGGCCAAGGTGGATGTGGTCGTTCGGCAGGGGGCAAGTCTGTCTGACGAGCGGTTCGGGGCAGCTCTCCTTGGCAACCCAGGAACAGGTTCGTGTAACATCTTCGCCCAATCTTTCCAACCACTGACTATGGCCTCTAGGTAAAACTACCGTGGCGCGTCTGTATGCCGAATTCCTTGGCTCTGTTGGGGTCATCCCGGGAAGCGTCTTCATTGAGACATCGGGTTCGAAACTCGCGAACGCCGGCATTGCCGGGTGCCAAAAACATCTCAATGAAATAAAGTCCAACGGTGGAGGAGCTTTGTTTATAGACGAGGCTTATCAGTTAACCTCCGGCAACAATGCAGGGGGTAGCTCGGTTCTTGATTTCCTGTTGGCAGAAGTGGAGAATTTGACAGGCAAGGTCATGTTCATCCTTGCTGGATACAATAAGAATATGGAGAGCTTCTTTGCCCATAATCCCGGTATTCCCAGCAGGTTCCCTATTGAACTGAAGTTCCAGGACTACTCGGATGAGGAACTGCGTACAATACTCCATCATCACATGAACAAGAAATATAAGGGACGAATGAGGGTGGAGGATGGGCCGGATGGACTGTACATGCGCATTGTCGCACGGCGTGTCGGTCGCGGCCGCGGTCGTGAGGGGTTTGGGAACGCTCGTAGCGTGCACAATGCC